TGCTCGCTTGCTTGCCCATTCATTCGACTGGAATTATTTATATACTATAATTCCCTAGATATATGCATACATAGAAAAAGCGCTAGCGCTGGACGATGGACAGGCAGCACGTAAGCAATATTTTTTCTTTGCATTGCTTTTCGTTCTATTTCCAATACAAAACAACAACAACAAAGAGAATGCCGACTAGCTCTTTAGTGAAGGTCCGTTAACTAGACGCTTAGATTCTTACACCTCATACAATCAGGTGAAAAATAATAGAAACACTTGCATTGAGAAAGTTCCAACACATGACATTATTGCTATTGTTAGTCACATTACTGTTTATATATGTTCAGTTGAATTTCACATTAATTATAAAGAGATCAATTTTAATCCAATTGTAGACTCTGTGATTCAGGCCCCAATTTTTTTGTTTGCACATTAGGTAACCGCAGACTTTGTTTAAGATTGTTATCATTTAGGGAATTATTCCGTTTTTCTTATAATAATTTAGCTTCGTGAAAAATCGTTCGTCTATTTGTCTGTCAGGATGAACGCCTGTATTTCCGAAACGACTTAGCCCACATTCACCAAACTTGGCATGTAGACTCTCCTAGTCCTTAGGCAACACGAGTTTTGTTTATTTTTTGATTATTTACTGTTGAGATTGCTCAGCTGTAATGGCCGAAAACTCACACTTTTTGCAAGCTGTATTTTATTTGCAACGTGCAAAGCTTTCTAAAATTTTTACAAAGTCGTACTTGAGGCTCAAATATGAGTGGAAAAAGAAGTGAGGAGCATTGATTATCGATGTTATACTGTATATATGAAGCTACTCCTTCCAAATTATAGACAGTATTTCTTATATTACTAATCGATTATAATATACGAAATTATTTCGCAGTAATTTGTCAAATGGTTTTATATACTTTAAATAAATCAGCTATTGGAGCATTGATTATCGAGGTTATACTGTATATATGAAGTATCTTGGGCGTTGCCATGCCCAAAAATTTGTTGGACGCTTTCGTGTCGCGTGTGTTCAGCGCGCTAAAGTTAATCATAGGTACTATACTATATTTCTTTCACTTAACGCTACACTAATTATGAAAACACAAATTGCTCGCCTACGGTTTTAGAGCCACTGGGCGCAGGCGCAACGCTTCGTTGGCTGCAATTATGGCCAAGACCAGTTACTTGCCACTCAGCTACTAAAGGTTGTTGGCCAATATATAAGCATACACACACACACACAGACACACACTATGTATGTAGGCATGTGTCTTATGTCTATGCCAGTGGGCTGTGTCTGGCTCCCATTTAGGGGCTAACAGTGGGACGTCGTCGCTATGAGTGCCAAACTACAAAGAAATAAGCTTTCCATATAAGTGGCGAGCAATTAGAGTGGAGCACTTGCTTTCGGTAGACAGCAGGTGGCAGCCAAGAGGAGCCAAAGACTCGAGAACCCCCAGTAGTTGATAATTTTTGTTCGATATGCCAAATGGCTTGTACTGTAAGAGCGAGCCAAGCTTTAGTTCTTAATTAAATATTTGTTGAAATGCGAGCAGTTTTGGCTTTGTGGTTTCCTTTTCAAATTATAGACAGTCTTTCTTTTATTAGTAATCGTTGATTTATTTATGCAAGTATACAAACTAAGTTTGAAGTTATTCGGATGCAAGTTGTAGATTTTTCATACAAACGTTGGAGCCCGTTTTCCCCCCTTTGGAGTTCGAATTTCCCAAAGTCAGTCAGGCAGTCAGGACAAACTGCTCTATATATATAGAGATTATTTCGCAGTGATTTGTCAATGGTTTACACTATGAATAAATCAGCTATTGCTGAGAAGCGCAGAGCACGGCTATATTTTCAGATTTAATCGTGACTATTAGTCTTTGCTTGAATTAGGTAGGGGTGCTTTAAGTGGCTTTAGCTCTTAAGTTCTTTGTAGGTGAAGCGCAGAAGGTGGTTTCTTGAATTAAATTAAAATTTTTTTAATTAAATCCACATTAGAGCTCCAAGTCGCTTCGGTTAGGTGCTTCGTGTGAGAAGCGCAGAGGAGGGCTATTTTTAAATTAAATTAAATCTTGTTCAGTCTATTCTATAAATAATAAATTCAGGTATTGTATATACAAAGTCTTTTTAATAAGCGTTAGGACTTTCATGAATTCAGGACCTCATTAAAAAAATTTAAAGCTTTGGCCCACATAAGTTTCACATGTAACCTCTAAACATTGATATTGAGCTGAACAATCGAACTGTTCGATGCAAATAAATCCAAATAATGAGGCCAACTGTCACATATAGGCCTACTCTACGCTATTAAAACTTTATAACAAAGGAGCCGCATGCAAAACAATAGACCGAGTGGCACAAAACGCGACGACGTCAGCACCAGTCGGAATTCAAAAAGTAGGCCCCTTTCCCGCCCCCACCGCACTGTCAATGCAATGCAATAGAAACCCATATGGGCTTGCATTTACAGCAGAAAGTTTTTATGGCATTGCAAATTTAGACACGAGTACATATAACATATCATTGGACTTTTATATACGAGGCAGGTTTGACAAGAAATCAAAAAACTTGGCAGCTGATTTGAAAGCAAAAAGAAAAAGGAAGACAGAAGAGATTTGATGAGACAGCTTTAATCTCGACTAATAAATCATTTGCATACGCGACTGCTTTTGTCCTTCTGTCAAATCAAATGCAATTTAAATTAGGAACAGGATACAGGAACAGGAGTTGACCATTTGGGAAGGACTGACTGTGTTCTTCCAATACTACTTAAAAGGCAACTAATGGCATTAAGAATATAATTGAAAAGTGATTGAGGGCAGCTCTGAAGTATCCAAGTAATGTTTAAATAATTATAAAAGAACGCTTTTTATAGATTCATCTTGCTTAGGTCACTCATAAAGGGAAAGTAAGCTTATTCGCTAGAACGCTAGAGAAACGTCATCATCAGCAATAGCTTTTGATTATTTTTGTAAGAAACTATTTCCGTTTTCGAATTCGATCAAATTAAACGAAATCATTTTAGTTATTCGGTGTCGAAGGAGAATTGTGGGACGCTAGCTTCATAAATTAATGATTTTCAAAGAAGAAGAAATATAATTATATAACAGTTTATAGTGCAGTGTTATCTTAATATCTGTTGTGTTAAAGTGGTATTTTCAAGTTAATATTTGTGGTAAATAATACTTTCTGATTTTAGTTGAATACTAAGGCTTTTCTAATTAATAGTCAGAAGGGAAGTTACACATTTTTAATATCCAATTAACATCAATTGATAGCTCTTAAATAAATAAATAAATATCAATTGATCAATTTTTAATACAAATTTAATCATTCATTTTATTCTCCTCTTCCCAGCATAGTTGTCAACACAATTGCGAGTAAGCAACTAGCCCTCGTATACATTTTTTATATTAAGTTGAGGTATGAAAGCGCTTGTCATGCGATCAGATTACGGTTTTTGCTTTATGGCGGAGCTTGGCGTTTATGTGCAGCGGTGCAGTGCTGCGGACGGGCCAACGACAACAAACGAACCAACGAACGAACGGTGGCAAGAGTGCCGTGTGGCATCACCATTAGGTGGTGCGGCAGCCCCTGCCACCCAAATGGCAAGGTAACTGAACTATGGCTGGACTAATTACACAGAGAGTGGACTCTATAAGGTAGCAACGAAGGGTCCATATGCGACAAAAAGTGGTAAATTATGTATTTAATGCACCGAGCCAAGCACGGGGTCACCAATGCATGGGTTCAGGCACTTCTTGGCAAGCAACGGTGCCTGCCTTTAGGCGCTGGCAGCTGTCGTTTGTGAAATATGAACGATTTAATAACAGCCCTCTAGGCGCTAACTGTTCCTTAGGCACCAATTATGCACATAGAAAATATGCAATGGAAAATAGAAAGATACATTACTTATTTATAATCCACAACTATTTCCTCATTTTAAAAATTGAATTTTAGGCCATTTGTTTAACCGCATATTTGAATAAATGTTACAAGCTACAATAAAATATAATATCTGCGACTTGCACTCAATGGAAGAAAATTAATTTAAATAATTTAAGGAAGATTGATGTATGGTAAAAATTATAAAAATACAGACACTCTTACAAATGTTCTATACTCTATAGTATACCAACATTTTTGAGGATAGCAATGAGAAACAAGTAGTTTATGTAATCCTTCCTATGACAGATATATGATATAATAGGTTGACAAATATCCTTCTCCCAGGAATTATAAACATGCTAGCTTCAAAACCGAGAAATGTGTTTGCATAGAAACATACAGAAACACAGATAAGGGTGTCTGACACCGCCTCCTTTTGGGCCTTCGAAATATCACAGGGAACTGAAAATATGCTTTGAGGTATAAAGGGTGGATCCAGGGTAAGCAAATATTCTCGACAAGGTATTCAGACCCGCACTATGCCATATACCCGTATAGCATATTCTCTTCTCCTTAGTTTTGATCAAGATAATGCGCGGCAGAATGAAAATCAATAAGCTAAGAGGAAAGACCACAGAACAACAAGAGCAGTAACAACAAAAAGGCAGCAGCAACAGCAACAACAACAGCAATAAGCAAAGCAAGCGCGGCGCAATTCGTATGCATATTTGGCATACTTTCAGGCGCATTCGCATGAGTGCGTTGCGGGTGTGTGTGTGTGTGTGTGTGTGTGCGATGCTCAGCATGAGCTCTGCTCGACAATTAACGGCACACACACACACAAGTACGCACAGATTATTAACATATTATGTGTGTGGGTGTGCAAGGAGGAAAGTGCATACGCATTAGAAACAAAGCATACTTTTAGGCCTAAAACTAAGGGAGGATTGTGTGCGATGTGTGCCATGTGCCTGGGGGGGGGTTGGGCAACATTGATGACATCATCATCAAGTGTGTTGTATTGACAGTTGCGCGGCATAACAATTGAACACACAGAAAGAAACGTCGCGACCCCAGCGACGACATACATGCGGTTTTAGAGTCACTGAGGAGCTTACCTTGCGGATGTAAACGTTCGGGCTTGAACCAGGCATCTGTAAATAGCGATTGATATATTGATTTTCGTTAGTTTGTGGTTAGTTTGATGTGCGTGAGACAGAAATACAGAAACGGAGAAAGCAAGAGAGGGGGGTAAGGGGAGCGTTTAGCGTGCACAAGCGGTGTTTTTGTTTTTGTTAAAGTTAAAGCACGCTATCAGGCGTCTAAGCGCATGCATTTGTTGAAAAACATATAATTAGGAAATAAATTGAATAAAAATAGGCAAGAGAGATATGCAAGAATCAATAAAGCAACTACCACCACCACCAGCATTCAAGTCTGCTGCAAGTTATACGCAAGTATGCCACAATTTGCGGCAATTACTTCACACACACACACACACACACACATTTCTATATGTATACACGATTTAATGGAGACACTCTTAAAAGTTGTCATGTTTTTCGGTCTACAGTTGTCAGAGGTTAGTTTTGTTTTTAGGCGTGGGGTGGGGATGAGGGGGTGAGAGGGCGGCTGTGTAAGGACGGGGAGTGGTTATCGAATGAAAATCATACAACTTACTGGGATCCAAAATGGAGCAAATGAGTGGGCGCTGCTTGCAGACACCATTTTGTGCATTATTCTCGCCACTAGTCGCCATTGTTTCAATCAATTTGTCACGCACTCGAATTTATTTGAATTTCTTATATTCTTATGGTCACAAGCGTATCTCACAGATACTTTTTCGCTGCGCACTGCTGCTGCTCTAAATATATTTGATTAAAACAGCAAACAAAAGCACAACACACATCGAGCGCCCGAGCGAAAGAGAGAAAACTACGACGTATTGTACGGCTTTAAGTCTTTTCCGTTCCCAAATACTTGTATATTTCAACTATCTAGGATTGCAAATTTTCGTACCGACGCGCACGCCTAATGTATAGAGACTGAGCAGCGTAATTGCGTTGCAAGCCACAGGATATCTGTGTGGCACGTGCCACTGCGACGACGCCGTGAGCGGCAAACAGACAGACAGGCAGGCAGACAGATGGGAATCGTAAACAAGTTGGCTCTCGCACAACTTATTTAACCCGAAAAACAAAATCAATAGCATGTACCAACATAGGCCTCGACTTTACGCTTTAGGCCGACAGTTGAGAGACCGCGCTTAGCCCTGAACTCGGCCAGCCCGGTCTGTCGGTTTCTCGCTTGGTCGGCAGCGATGTTCGGCTCAAAAGCTCAGCGCAAGTTTTCTGGTCTATTGATTTGCGTTGCCGAACAGGTGCTGCCCTGACTATAGAGTATAGCCTGCCTGCTGTGTAGAGTGTAGACCTTTGCTAGCTGGTTGGTATTCGGGCCATGGTGAGTTTTGGAAACGCATGCGCCATATCAACAATTCATATTTGTTGGCGCCCACTGTTGCGCCCCAGGGAACGGAAACGGGCAAAGCCGGGGAAGCGGGCGATGTGTGGGCGTTCCATGCAGAAACTGCAATGCCTGCAACAAACAGATGCTGTTGCTATAATGTGGTCAATTGGACGTTCTGGCCCCATCCCTCCACTTCCAGCAGGGAGCCAGAAAACTTTGGTCATGTGACGCACAACTTTGACAAAGAATGCCATAATAGTGCTTCGAAATGTTTCTGCATGCGACAAGAACATGGCTTTTGCTTTTAGCCCAGTTGCATGGATTTGCAGTTGACCAACATTTCTGACAGCCATCAGTTGCAGCTGCAATGCAAATCGATATTTCTACCAGAATTTGTGCCATCCATGAATATGAATAGATGAAGAAGATCAATGTTGTGGGAATAAAGGCTCTACAAGATACAGGATGTGGAAGAGAATTTGAAATAAGTTTTCGCTACACTCCTATGTTAATATCCGATATTGTTTTGCTTCTTTGACTTGCACTAAAATTTACAATTCATTTTTGAATTTGCTTTGAACACACACTCTTATCGTTTGTTTAGTCGGAAACGTTTGCAGTTAATTGGCAACAAAATACAAAAAACTGAAAATTTAATCAACATTTTAAATGATTAGGAAACTTCTTAAAGTCAGCATAACTACTGACTTCAAATCTTAATTTCCTCTAGTTTTTCAAATGCACTTTTTCAAAAGCTAAAACTTAAAAAATAAACAAATAAAATTTATTATATTGATCATTTAAGCAGTGAATATTTCTTTGTGGTTATTTCTATAAAAATGCATTTAAAATAACTAATAAAAAATATTCAAAATCTTAAATAATAAGTATGAATTGTATTAATATTATTTATAAAATTCATGTTAAAATGTATAAAATACGAATAAATTTAATCGATTAGAAGAATATATTGAGACATTAAAGCATTTGACATACTGGAAGCTATTGAACGTATTCCGTTGGCCAGCAATGTACGAATATAAAAATTAAATTTTAAAGAGATGGGTTGAAAATGGGGGAATGAAATTGACGAACTAATGAGAACATTTGGAAGAGTTCTGTATATTATTGTAATAAATAAATCAATATTGTAATTAATAGATTTTTGCATTTGTTAATTTTTTTGCATATTTTCTGGCCCAAAGGCAATTAAAAAATTGACTCGATACCGTCACAATTTTCAGACACAACGTGGGCCCGACTACTCAAAAAAAATTACAAAAAAGACTAACAACAACAAAAACTGAGCCACGCGTTTTCTTCCGCACTGTTTACTTTCACAATTTCATCACGCCGATCGGAGCGCACTCATACGGTTTGAGTTTAGGACCCTTCAGTTTTGATAAACAATTCACGCGCACTATACATACTATATGCATGTATTAAGCATTTCTATATTTAATTTTCAATTGATATGCGCACTGTGGATGCAGTTACTTGCCAATAAGAGAACCAAAGCGAGATAAATGGAAAGGCAAAGATAAGTGCAGGGCTAAGCCAAGCTTAAGCCGCTTTACAACACTCCCTCCTCAAGTGAGTGGCATAAGGAATAGAAAGAGGAGGAGGAGGAAAAAGCAGAAATCAAAGGCAAGCAAAGGCATATGCAGAAAAAGCAATCTTTAGCAATCTGAAGTGGATGGATGGAGGGCGAGACAATCGATTTAAAAGAGAGCCCCCAGGCAATGGAGCAATGGAAAATGCGTGGAAATCAAATTACAGACAGATGCAAAACAGACGGCCACAAAGAAAAAATCAATGCCAAGGCAGACAGACAAGACGGCATTTTGCGGCAAATATCTTGCTTGCATGTAATAAAAATAGCCGCATAATCGCAAAAGAAAAAAAACTGAAACAATGGACAAGCTGAACAAAAGCAATGGGGGACCAAGGCGATGGCTGCTGCAGCGCGCCGATGACTTGGGGCCAGAGAAATTACTAATTGGAAAATTTTAAACTAGTGCACACACACACACAGATTTATATATACGAAATACTTATATTATACTATATACAAACGTGAATGTACAGAAACTAATAAGAGTGCAAAAGGCAGCCGGTTAATCAGAGACTGAGTAATCAAATATTTTTGCGCAGCGAGGAAACGCCTGCCTTCTCCCCCATTCTCCACTACACAACCCAATAAACGTACTATAAAGCGTATTGCGGATGGTGAGCAACATTTCTGCAATCAATTTGTCCTTTTTTAATTGGAAAATTATTTTTGTATATCAATAGCAATTATACATACTACATACATATATGTATGTATGTTCACAATTTCTTGGATGGACATAGTTTTGGAAAAGAATGTTGAGTGTTTGATTCAAAGTCACAAAAGAGAGAATTAAGAGACCGAACTTTCTAAAAATTGGCTCTACATACATATACTGTGTTCATGGGAGTGTGTATATGTATATGTAAGTAGAAGATTGTACATATACGGGTATATACCATAGTAAAATATACAAATGCTGCGCTAATTTTTAAGATTTATGTAAAACAGAAAATTAAATAAAGTAGTACATATGAAAAAAATAAAAAATGTAGAACTGAATATTTTAAAATAATAATATGAGCAATTTAAATTTAAATAATTATTAAGTTAGTAATGCGTTTGAATAACGTATTTGACATTACTATATTGCTTTACATGTAATACAAATGTACAAATTATTTACCAAATAACCAATTCAGTTTATTCAGATGAATGCAAATCCGAGTCACTGTGCGCAGCCCCGGCTTACAAATTAAGCGAATAACAATAAAAGGTACATACATATGTATGTATGTACAGTGTATGTACATATGTGTATGTGTCCGCATGCAAATTTGTAGATTGCAGCACTTCCGGACAGCTAGTCAGCTGTGAGGGCTTGTGTGTGTGTTTTGTTTTTGTGCGAAAGAAATGGCATAGCGAAATTAGTATTTGAACTTTACTATATTCAGTTCTTTGGCATAACTGCTAAAACAAAACTTAAAAAATCGTATGAATGAGCAGAACGCGAGAACAACAATAAAAAGCAGCTGATTCATCTCAAGAATTTCATCTATTGACGTACAAACACACATACATACATATTTTTAATGCAATAAGCAAGCAACACACACACATACTCGGTTTCCTAAAAAGGGGGTGAGAGAGAGAGAGGGAGTGTGTGAGAGAGCGAATCTGGTCTGGAAGCTTGCAATTGACACCCACTACGGCAACAGCTGACAAAATTTGCGTAAAATAAAAGAATTGAAAAAACTGCTGCTCTATTAGTGAGTTCTTTTCAAAGTGTTGAAGAAGTACAGAGAAAACAAATGTTTTATATCCAAGAAGCCGCAAAAGCAGGCCGCATGACATCATGACTAAATACACACACACACACTCACACAGTAAATAGCAAAAACATAAAGGTGGGGCGAAAAGGGAAGTGGAGCAAGGGGCAAAGAGAGCTCAGAGAGATATGACTAAGTATAGCAGTAAATGGATGTTGAAAGGTTGGGCTTTTTATTTGTTGACGGAACACTCTGCGCCGGTGCTAGGAAAGAATAGGAACGACTAATACAAGGACATCAGTAACTATAACGGCAACAAACAAAAAATACGCTGACAGGCAAGCCTAATTTAACAATTTAATAACTAATAACAAATTAAAATGAACAAAATTGAGTTGCAGAATAAAAAATAAAGAACTTACCCAAGCCATACTTGTAGAAAATTTCCTCCACAGACACAATATTTGGTTGCGGTTGCGGCGACTTTGGTTGCTGCGACTGCTGCTTCTGGGGTGGTGGTGGTGGTGCTGCAGTCGTTGGCTTGGCTTTGGGCGGCTCGACTTTGGGCACCTGTGGCGGCGGCACAACGGGTGCTGCCACAGGCTTGGCCGGTTCCGATTTGGGCGTAAAAGTTGGCTCGAAATTGTCATCATCATCCAAATCAGTAACGACAGCTGCGGCTGATGAAGTCGCCACCTTCGACATCGGCTGCAGTGGTGCAGTAAATGGTGGCGTAGCTGTGCGCTCCTCCTTAAAATCACTGAGTAAATCCTCGGAAGATATGAACTGCTCATTGTCCTGCTCTTTGAGAGCATCGGTAACGGGTTTCTTGGCCGGCGACGGTGTGTACGAAACGGACGGCGAATCAGTGTCGGAATCCTTGTTGCCCACAATGGGCGCGACGGCAGCAGCGGTGGTTGCTGGTGGCGGCGTGGACTTGTTCAGAATATCATCGACACCATAGAAATTCGACTTGGCCGGTGCACTGGGCGCAAATTGTGCTGGCTCCGGCTGCTGCGAGGTTGGCTTGTCACTGAAGCTGCCCAGCAGATCCTCAACATCATCATCTGGCGGCGGAACTGGAGCTACAGCTGAATTGGGAGCTGGAGCTGGAGCGACTCCACCAAAGAAGCTGCGCTCCGCATTCATAAAGTCGCTGGTCAAGTCGCTAACACCCTGCTTGACACCCTTGCCCGCCTGGCCCAGGAAATCATCCAACTCACTGGTCTTCTGTGCAAACTTGGCATCGAGCTGCTCCTGGGCCTCCTTCGCCCCGGCCGACATGCGCTGCACGAACGCCTGTGGGTCGCCGAAATCGAGATTTTTCTGCTCGTTGGCAAAATAGTGTTCGGTATGCGCATTATCGTCCTGCGCCCCGCTGCTCACGTTGCCACCGCTCCCATTTCCATCGCCAATGCCACCGAGCAGTTCGTCGTAGGTATGGCTCACCTTTTTGGTGGCAGCATCGACGGCATTGCTTGCATTGCCAAAAATGTCCTCGGCGGTGCTGGATGCCTCCTTCTTTAACTCGGCGAAATTTAAATCCATAGCGATTTTGAGGGCGTATATTTCAAATTTAACCCGAATTCAATTTTCACTCCTCCTGTAATGTGATGCGCTGTGGTATCCTTTTTCTGATTGGATAAATAACACGCTCTCAGTGGCAAGCACAAACACACATACACACACACACCCCGTAACCGTGTTGCTGGATGCGGCTGATTTCGGCTTCGTTCGATGAGTATTACGGTGAACTTTTCTTTAATTTATAAAATATAATGCTAAGCACTTGCTTAACAATAATAATTATTTTCTTTGGCTCAGAATCTCCGTTAGTCTTCGAATTTATTTTAAAATGGTCAAGCGGAAAAGTTGCAAGCCGCACTCTTTAAATTGTCGAAATGAACTGCGGCCAGCGAGAGAGTCAATTTAGTTCAAAGAATCAGTTTTTAAATTAAAACGAAATCGAACTAGTTCCAACAAACATCGAACTACATATCGATATTTATGTAAGCTAGTTCCTTGAATAAGATGTTGAAATGAAACTAGTTTTACAAATAAATAAGTTTTATTCAAATTAATTGGGATATTTTTATCATTTAAAAACAAATAAACCAATAAACTTTAATACAGAGTACCTCCATTACGGAAGAAGTAATGTAATCGCAGTATAGAAATATTTATAATAAATTATAACTACAATCCGAATTTTAAAATATTTTTTTAATCAAAATTTAACTGTACCTCGGAGATTGAATTCATTTAAATTGAAATTGGAATTTAAATAAAAGCCAACAAATACTTATATGCCAATGAAATAATATATTTACTTGTTCTATTCAAATTGAATAAAATAGGATTCATGCAAACACTATGTCCGATCTGAGCATTCGTTTATTTTTAGGCGGTCCACTTGAGGCAGCGCGTGTCCTGATGAGTGCGCAGGCAGCGTACGCGGCAGTAGCGCGTGCCGCAGGCCGTACAGGAGTATTGTGAGAAGTTTCCACAGACAGCGCAGAAATGACGGACAGGATTCTTGGGTGGTGGGGCGGCGGCACTCACATAGTTAGGCTGTTGTTTATCTTCCTCAAGTAGCTGTTGGAAATTTTTCCGATATTTGGCACGAAAGTACTCGGCGCCCTTGCGTTTTCCTTTCTTCTCCTTGCCGCTCTTGATGCTGTCCTGAAACTTGGGCAATTTTTTGGACATGACCAAGTCAGCGTGCGGATCGTCGTGGAAATTGTCCTGTTCCAACGCCTCGAGTGCTTTTCTTGCGCGCCTTTGACGTGCGGCTCCGTCCAACACGCGCTTTTTTTCTGCATCCTTAATGCGAGCCGACATAGTGTTTGTTTAGTTTTAAAGGGATGTAGGGTGGGGGGTTTGTAAATGTTAAACAACGTTTTTTACGATCCTAAGCGTCCTTATCGTGCAGTGGAAAGCTGATACGATCCATTAACTCATCGACACGAGCCTGCAAAACGTCGACAATGTCCGTGGAAATAAAAAGATGATTTTCGTCCAGATCTTGTATGATGAATTTTCGACCCAAAGCCGACTTCTCATCCAGATGCAGCAGAAATTGTTTCATAGCAGGATCACTAAAGTGAAAAACATAAAGAATTATATGGGGACTGCTAATATAATTACTTTACTTACCATTCCACTAGCACACCTTTTATCACGTTTACCATGTTTTATTGTGCGAGTAACACATTTATTTCTGAAGTAGGAAAACCTTTGCCTGCTTGATTTTCTTCTTCTTTATTGTTGCCATTCAATTGTAAGTCCATCACGCCATTAGAGATGGGATTTTAGCTACTTAACTGTCACGTAAATTACATAGCTCAGAAGTTTTTTTTTTGTAATTCGAGAGTAATTTTTTCTTTCTTTTTAATTTAAAATGATTCTATATGCATACGTGGCAAGTTTTTCGAAATAATTTCCGACGCGAACGCGCGTTTACGGTATACTGTTATCGGGAATCCGTATGACTATTGACGACCATCTCTAGCTGTCACTTTTTGCTAAGTGCCATTTGCAAAGAACATTTTTTTTCTTTCAGTTAAGTCAGAAATATTCTACTAAATGGACTCGACCTACAGAAATCTGGCACTCCTTTGCCTTTGCCTATGTGCCGGCTACGCTTTGGTTGTTCAGGGCGTGGCAGCTGAAAAGGAGATACCGGCGACCAACTTGGTTGCAGCTCCGAAGATGACTTTCCTCTATTGGTGAGCAATTAACATACGAGCGGTATGAACGATAAGAGGAAGATAAGGCTTTATTTATTTACAGCTACTCGTGCGGGTACAGAAAGGCCTTCGAAGACTATGCTAATCTTGTGATCGAGAAGTATCCGTACGTGGAGGTAAACATGATTAGTTACTTGTGGATAAGCCACTCCTGGATAAAAACGCAAGTTGGGACCATACAATTAAATTGATTTCATTTGTTTCCAGATCGATGGCGCAAACTACGACCCGCCCGGTATGAACTATATACTCTCCAAGCTAATTTTCGCGCTCAAAATTATCATCATTGTGTCGGTAATTGGCTCGTTTAGTCCCTTTACTTTCCTGGGCATGAATACGCCAACTTGGTGGAATCATCTGCAGACAAATAAGATCTATGCCTGTATGATGATATTTTTCCTTGGCAATATGATTGAGAGTCAGGTGAGTTGAAGGCTGAAGCTTTCTATTATAAGAGGCAGCCAATTAATTGTTATTTTTTTAAATACAGCTCATTTCATCGGGCGCGTTTGAGATTACACTGAACGATGTGCCTGTTTGGTCAAAGTTACAAACGGGACGAATTCCCGCACCTCAGGAGCTGATGCAAATAATAGACAATCAGTTGCAGTTCTCGAACAAGGTGCAAGAGAATCCGGACTTTGTTAAATAATAGTAGAGTATTCTTTAACTCGGTGTAGATGTAAATGTGGCTGTCAGGCACTGAAGCAAACGGCGACAGCAACAAGCATAATAATAACAGCAACAACAACACTTATAGCACTCTCTAAACACGGAGTACTCGCCACGTTATGATTCAAATTTGACTTAAACTATGTGCTGGAAACTGTGCAGTCTCGGTTCCGTTTCCTTATTAAATTTTCACATTCTCAGACATTCATTTACAAACGAATATTGTGTATCGACTAAACTGTGTTTATGAACATTATTGTTTAGCTTTTGTATGGCCTCAAAGCAGTCATAATTAAACAATTTAAATTAGTGTTTGTATGTAGACTATATCTTATGTAAATTGTCCTAGCATTCTTGTTAATAGTAAAAGCAAAACAAAGAGGAAAAACGGGTGAATGGAAAATCATTTTTCAAATTGCAATAAAAATGATTACATTTAATTTAATGTTTTTTGATTTTAACGATCTGCCAAGCTCAAGCACAACAGCTGATATGAATTTGTTTCTCTTGTGCTAACCAAGAGCTAAATCCGTTTGCTTTTGGCTTTAAATTGATGTGTGAATTAAACCTCTTTGTACCAATCGCTATTGTAGCTTTGTGTTATGGTAAACTGAATATAATAGAATTTACGCACCATAGAAAGCCACTAATAAGTTACGATATCGTTCCTATGGTAGCTTCCTGATTTCAAAGAAACTTAAGAAAATATTGGGGCATTGATTGCGTTATCGAAATGAAGAAAAAAGTTCTTCCAGCTCTATGATATGATATTCTGTTCCAGTTGAAAATAAACGTTAGGAAATAATCAGACAATTGGACAAGCTTTCGATGTTCGTACAGACGGACAGTCGAAAAAGCTGACGGAGGAGCAGGTGAACTTGTTTATATCGATTCGTTCCCTCAGATCATATGTATATAACGCGTCTATCGTTGAAGTCAGCCAATCTAAAAAGTTATACAAAATTAAAAAAAAAAAAATCCAACATAAAACACACTTTTCTGCATTATTTTTAATTTGTGTACATTTTATTAATCAACCAAAAACTGAATTGGTTTTCGATAGTTTCGTTATAAAGTCCTACAAAGACAAGATTTTTATTGCAAATCGAGGCAGTGGGATTGTTTTTTTGGTTTTTTGCATTTGTTTGCTGTTGTTTAGAACATTATTATAAGTATATTTTGTTTTGCACATAATTAGGTTTCTTTTTATACGAACAAATGACACTGGGCAGAAATATTGTTTTGAAAATAGAGCGGTGGCGAGATGATAGACTTAAAACTTATTTACTTTCTACTTAGTACGTAAGCTGAACTGAACCAAACTGAATTTTAGGGTGCGTATGTGTCCTCGCGAGGACGTCGGCGGTATTGGCGTTGCACGCCGTTCTGCTGATAGTTCAAGGGATTGGAACCTCGGTAATTGTACCGGTTATAGTAATTAGCCGGAGGTGGTCGACGTACCACTTGTGGGGGAGCCGGCACCACGCGCTCCGCTTCGCTACGGAATTGGGTGGCAGCATAACCGCCAGGCCAAGAAGAAGATGGTGCCGATTGCTGACGGACCTGCCAGCTACGAGCCTGTCCTTGAGTGCGGGTAATGAAGGAGTCTCCACGTCGACGGCACACAGTACACCTGTAACGTAAGTCGTTGTGATTAGGGACAATTGCTGTATTTTTTGTTCGCATAGTTCTCCATTTACCTGCTTATCTTGCTGGTCTGATCAGCCTTAAGGGTCTGCTGACGTGGCTGCAAAAACTGGTCTTGCTGTTCGATCACAGCTAACCAGAACGAGGCTAAGGCATCATAATAGTTACAACGACCATGGCCGTGGCACTCAATGACAGGGTTAGCGCGGAACTCCTCCAAGCACGATCCAGGAGAGACAAGGTTTTGTCCTATGCCACCTGTATTATCCGTTGTGGTCTGTGAAACAATGTATGATCGATTTAATGAAGATAACTAATAAAGGTTAAGTTACCTACCATGTAGTAGCTGTATCCAGTCCACATTTCCTCCCAGCCACCAGGACAATCGGGTATTGACATGGACTGAGAATGCAGTGCAATAATTCTAGTTGAAGTTTCACAGACAACGCAACTGTAACGGTTGGGAATAATGTAAGATAGGATGGTGCTTGCTCCAATAAACTTAAAGCACTTACCGTGAGATGTATTTGATGAGGTCTCTAGAATCGATGGGAGTCATAGTCATGGGCATGGGCTCAGCTGTCGATAGCCACAAGCTATCGTCATTATTTTGCGCATAGTTACACACATTGTTAACATCGCAGAACATATAAGGCATTGTGGTAAAGCGCATTAGGCACGAGCCGGATTGACCCAGGTCCTGACCAAAGGCGCGACTGCTAGCAACATTGCCGGACAGTGAATATCCTTCCCACAACATGTTTGTATTAGCTGGGCACTGTGGTATACGAACCGACTGGGAGTGGCGCGCGAAAATGAAGCCACGACTCTTTGGTGGTGGAGCTGGGGGCGCTGGGTCACCTTGCGGGCCTGGAAGTCCACGCAATCCAGGACGACCAGTCAAGCCAATATCACCCACATCACCACGTTGTCCTTGAGCACCATCTTGTCCCTGATATCCGACTTCTCCAACGTCGCCCTGATAACCTTGCGCGCCGCGGAAGCCGACAGCTCCGCTTAAGCCAGGCTCTCCTATATCGCCTATCTCACCCTTAAATCCATCCAAACCAGGTTCACCACGATCGCCCTGGCGTGCATATGTGAATGAGAAAGTCACACCGGCTTCACCCTTCTCGCCTTCCAAACCATCCAAGCCATCTATACCACTCCATCCGGCATCACCAGTTGGTCCACGTGGTCCGCGGAGTCCAATAAGACCCATTCGTCCTGGTCGTCCGCTAATGCCCTGCTCTCCTTTACGTCCGTCATAGCCAGGAGCGCCTTGATATCCCACATCACCGACATCACCTTGCATACCATGGATGGCATAACCAGCTTCACCTTGTTGTCCTTGGTATCCAGTGTCACCACGTGTGCCTTTGAGTCCAGGTTGTCCATGTAGGCCATTTCTACCAGGTGGGCCTGGATAACCGGCATCACCAGGAGGACCGGGTGGTCCTACAAGTACTGGACCAGTCCTTCCTATCTGTCCATTTAAGCCGTACTCGCCCTGTTCACCAGGTGCACCCTTTTGGCCAACACGACCTGGACGTCCAGGCAAGCCATCATAGCCAATATCGCCCTCATCACCACGCTCTGCGTATTGATTAGACGAACCATCTGGACCTCTGCGGCCTTTGTCACCGGGCAGTCCAGCAGCTCCTGGTAGACCATCAATGCCCGCTAATCCGGCGTAGCCAATATCACCACGGTCTCCTTTGCGACCAGGATATCCGGCTGCGCCCTTATAACCCTTCTGACCCGGAGGACCCTGGTTACCCTGAGGACCTCGGTCACCTCTTAGACCGTGAACAATTCGATCACCTCGAAGCAGAATACCAGGCAGACCAGGTTCACCTTCATCTCCCTGTTCTCCCTTGAGACCAATAGCGCCGGTTGGACCCTGATCTCCTTGATCCCCCATCGGTCCTACTGCACCAATAAAACCGACGTCACCAGCATCTCCTTTTTGACCGATAAATCCTGGTGCTCCAACAGGTCCAGATTCTCCTTTTCTTCCAGGTGCCCCACTGCGTCCAGGGTAACCATGCAAGCCAGCATCACCTTGGTCACCAACCTCGCCAGGATAACCGTCCAATCCATAGTCTCCCGGTTGGCCCTTAAGTCCATGGAGACCAGGCAAACCAGGGCGTCCAGGAATGCCAGTTTCGCCCTTGTAGCCTTGAAGACCGTCAACCGCAATAGGTGAATCTCCAGGCAAACCACGTTCACCCTTAGCACCAGGAGCACCGTTATAGCCAGGTGGCCCATTGTGACCTATATCGCCAGCCTCTCCTTTAATTCCGCTGTAAGCAGAAACACCTTTGGGACCACGACGACCTGGATAACCTTCATCACCTGGTACTCCCTTGCGTCCGGGCACTCCTGGTGCACCAGGATAGCCGAATGGACCAGCATCGCCAGTAATACCTTTAATCGGAAAACTTTACATTTAAATACAATTTAGGAATTTACACGGGGAAATTACCTTTAAGTCCTACTTCTCCAGGTGCTCCTCGTTTACCGATATCTCCCATGCGTCCATCGGCTCCAATGTCGCCACGGTCACCTTGATCTCCAGGAATGCCACCTAAACCAGATATTCCTTGATTTCCGATTACACCTGGAGGTCCTGGGTCACCGACCTCTCCTCGGCGGCCAGTAAGACCAATGCTACCCTTAGCTCCTTTCTGGCCAACTTGCCCAGGAAAACCAACTTCACCTTTTTGGCCCTTAATACCATGCGGTGCTGCTCTTCCGTCACGACCCGGTGCACCTACCACACCAATGGGACCGACAAGGTAGTCACCACGTTGCCCCTTATTACCCGGAAGACCTGTTTGTCCATAGGGTCCATCATTGCCCTTTTCACCCTTTATTCCCTTTGGTCCGGGTCTGCCAGCAGATCCTGGGAAACCGGCAAATCCTGTATCACCAATTATTCCCTTGATACCAGGTCTGCCCGCAATGCCAGTTTCTCCAAATAATATATACTGTCCAGGTTCACCACGTTGTCCTTTGTTTCCAGGCAGACCGGGCATCCCTCGCTCACCATCTTTGCCTGGCAATCCATCCACACCATGCTGTCCGAAATCTCCGGTTGCTCCAGGATAGCCCTTTGCTCCCACTGGTCCTGGAATGACAATTCCTTGAGGGCCAATATCTCCGATCTCGCCGTTTAAGCCAGGTTCTCCCTGCTGACCCTTCGGTCCTCTAAAGCCTGGTAGGCCAGGTTCACCAGGCTCCCCAGGTTCACCCCTATTGTCATAAACTTCTCCGGGATGGGGTTCACCCTTGTCACCCTTCAAGCCTGTGTTTCCGAAATCGCCTGGCTCACCTCTAAAATATTAAGGGAAGGCCATTATTAAAATGTAGTTAAGAATATTACATAATTATGATAACAGGAATATAATTGTGTGACTGAATATTATCAGTTTAAATATAATCGATAGATAAATTACAATTGGAAGAAGTCACTGAACAGTTTGGCATATTGTTTATTGTTTTTTAATAGAAACATCACACTGGTGTCCAGAATTGTTAAATCACCAACAATGGTTTTGAAAAGAACTTGTTAAGAAATCTTTGCTTGTTTGATAACAGTAGCAAAGGATGTAAGAATGTTTATTATTAACTTACTTTCGTCCATTGTATCCGGGTTCTCCTATTAGGTATATTTTTGGAGTTGACGCTGCTCGTCCAGGTGTTCCGTTACGTCCTGCATAGCCAGGTGCACCATCGCGGCCAGGTCTTCCTGTATCACCGTAGTCTCCACGTAATCCAGGTTCACCTTTAGCTCCAACAATTCCGTCGAAGCCATTTACACCACGATCTCCAGGTGCTCCTTGTTCACCACGACGACCGTTATCGCCGTCATCGCCTCTTTCGGGTTCTTTTCTACTACCTTCTTGTATTACAATACCAGGAGTTCCAGGAAGACCCAGTCGACCTGGATCACCAGGAATACCGGGTTGTCCTGGCATACCCTTGTAACCACGAGGACCAGGCCTACCTCTTTCTCCCTTGGGTCCTCGTGGTCCAGTAAGACCACGAAGCCCTCGAGCACCGTGCTGGCCCGGGAATCCAGCGTCTCCTATGAGACCCTTTAGGCCTATAGGCCCTGCGCTACAATAGCCACAGTCGTCACCTCGTATACCTTTATCGCCAGGCCAACCTCTTTGCCCAGGAAGACCATCGTCTCCGGGGAATCCACGTTTGCCGGGTGGACCCTGAGAACCAGGGGGGCCCACTATATTGAAGCCTTCTCCAGGCAAACCTTTATCACCTGGTAGACCGACATCACCTCGATCACCACGATAGCCGTTCGTTCCGGGTACTCCATTTTGCCCAGGTAAGCCCTTAGGTCCAATCAAATCAATGCCAGGATCACCTCGAAGGCCAGGGCGGCCAATCGGTCCAGGTATTCCGGGGGCACCTTGGGGACCAGGTGGGCCCCGTAATCCATAATCTCCTTCATCTCCTTTAATACTTAGCCCCTGACGTCCAAGATTTCCATCCAGACCAATATCTCCAGGAGGACCAGGTGGGCCCTGCACTCCTCGTCGTCCTGGCTTGCCAGGTATGCCACTTAAGCCAGGGTTACCAATAGGGCCGATATCACCCTGGGGTCCTTGCGGACCTGGCAGTGAAATATCCAAATTGGGATCGTATGCTCCTTTAGGACCGACAGGGCCTTGTATACCAGGCATGCCATTAAATCCATCTTCTCCACGAGCTCCTGGTAAACCATCCTCGCCATTCAGTCCATTGTAACCTGGGGCACCCTTAACACCCTTTTCACCAGGTGCACCGGGCTCACCAAGCTTGCCAGGCTTTCCGCGCTCTCCAGGCTCACCAGTGTCACCTCTTGGTCCTGGAAGACCATCATTTCCAAAAGGTCCTGGCTCTCCATAAATACCGGGTAAGCCTTTGTCACCAACTGGTCCAGTAGAACCCTTGTAACCCTTTTTGGCATCGCTGAATGTAAATTCTGTCGTTTCGCTGTCTGCTGGTTCGCCTTTGTCACCTCGTTCACCAGCTAGTTGGAAAGGTACATTCTCAGCAACGGCCATTTCACCTTTAAATCCCTTGGGGCCTTGTTCGCCTTTCGGTCCTTGAAAACCCGCATTTCCGATGTCACCTTTGTGGCCGCGTGCGCCTCGGAACCCTGCTTGCCCATCGATACCATCAATTCCGCGCTCACCCCGACTACCTTTGGTGCCCTTTGAGTTGATGCCACCTTCACCTGCATCGCCAGCAGGACCTGGTGCGCCTGGCTTACCCATTTGGCCTCGTTTGCCATTTTCACCAGGCGTTCCAGGAGTACCTTGTGCGCCAGGGCGACCATCACAGCCATCGATTCCACGGGGTCCATCCGTTCCCTCCTCTCCGGGAATGCCCTATGAAATACAGACATTGAAAGTAACACAAATAATGAGTGCGCATTCACTCCGATACATACGCGTTGGCCAGGAGGACCCGTAAAACCCGGTAAGCCGGCGTCACCCTACAATATTTTAATAATTAAATTATGAAAAGCTTTTTAATTTGAATCAGAATTGAATATTCTTGACATACACGATGTCCTTTTTCGCCTTGTTCACCATACTCGCCGGCATCGCCTTTCTCGCCATACTTTCCTTGTGGTCCGGGATCTCCCACCGGACCTGGCTCGCCTTCACGTCCAACAACACCAATGGAGCCGATGGCACCCATGCGTCCTTTGATGCCCTTGCAATCACATAGCGTTGTATTGCACTCCTGAAACAAATGGAAAGAGGACCGATAAGTTTTACAGTGCTTTTATATTACTGTTGCTATTCGGAAGCCAGACGAATCATTAATTTTCCGGTAACGAATCTTAATTGCCGTCGATTTGCGCTTTGATTTTGGATAGCGTATATCTTTCTCTCTCCATCTCTGCTGTCCAGCATATAGTGCAGAACCATTTCAATTGATGTCTATAGCTTTTTAACCAGGCGATCATTGGCATTATTTGGTGCGCACACTCAATTTCTATGCTTTGAGGCATTCAGCTATTTTCGCATTAGTCATAAGAATAAGAACATCAAGCCTAACAATGCCTCTGGGGCGTTGAGGCGTCGACTACATAAAAATCTGACCCATGCAAAGCATTTGAATAAAATGCAACAAGCATTATGAAGAGCTAGAATTTTTGCTTTAATTGCGCGATTTCCGTTCCTATGAGATAATCTTTTATATTTTGCCTTATATTGTTCTTACTTTTGTTGCTTTCAGTCGCTGTCAGCGATGCCTGCAACAGCTATTCTTGCTGATTTGCCAGGCAATTGTGCAAGTGCCTAGGCATAGACATGGAAAATTCATGATTATCAACACAGAGGCATGCGGCGCAACGAAGCTCACATATTTGTGCACATAACCATATAGCTTGAGCATTTCCAACTCACTCCCTAGACGCAACAGGTAGCAATGCAATTGAAATTATTTCTGAGATATAGTCCGAGTATAAACACATAAGTGCTTAATATTTTCAAATCACACATAAGTATTTAATAAAATCGAAAAGTAAACAATCTTTTTCCGCTGCATAGATATTTCACAACCTTAGATATGCTGTTTGTGGGTATACTTGTAGAGTCAAAAATACGCCCTCATAGGGCAATTCATTCCCCCTTCCAATTAATACGCTTTGTCTACAGAGTCTTAGATTCTAAATTGCGGCAATGGTTAACCTTTCCACTATATACATTTTTCAGAATTACTAGTTTCTTGAAATCGTTTTAGCAAAACGCTTTAAATTTCAAAAATTAAATCAATTTATTGAATCCAAATATAGTTCATGTATGCGAAGAAAAATTCGATTTTAAATTAATTGGAGAAGGTCTCAAAGTTTCTGCAAATCAATATCAATTTTGATTCAAATCAAAATCAAAATTCAGGAATGCAGGTTTTTCGTATTTATAATATTAATAATTTGTTTTCAATTACGATATATGTAAGAGATAATGCTAATCACGAAACTTTTCATCGTGCTCAAAAACGTATTCTCAATTATGATATACTTGTAGATATTTCAAATGTTTTAATCAGCAGGCAATAATTTTGAAAGGGCTATACTTCGTAAAATCGGGAATGGCTATTCAAGTAACTTTTCAGCATTCGTCGACTTCTTCACCGCAATCCTTCTTCCTATGACCTCCAATAATTTAAACCATTGTAAAACATGAGTCATTCCATCTGTTTGTCCTCAATAGGCCTTCCACGTTGCCAGCCAACATATTTGTCTCCGCTTCAACATAAAAGTGAACATAAACATCCTTAATTTGTTTTGTGTGAAAATATTAATAGAATTGACATAATTTTGTTTGAGTCAAATAAATAATTTAGTGCCGGCATTCACAAATATTACTTTGAGCAATGAGTGAGGAAAAAAGAAAAACTGCTATTCCACAAAACTGAAATCACCGCTAAAAAGTTTCGAGATCGAAAAATGCACACATGTTGCACGTATGTTGATTTTTTCTTGTGCCTTTTGTTTGTTGCTGAATGCCACGAAAATTATAGTTTAATGTTTGATGGCTGGAAAATTAGTGCCAAATATTTGCCTCACTATAACATTTCAGTTCTAAAATGCTTACACAGTCATCTGACACTATATATGTAGATTATTTATTGCTTTGCACGTTTTACTGATCTGGCGGACGAGAGTTCAAAGATTCGTTTCGTTAGCAACGCACCGAAGTATTAATCAGCCTGGGTTTGTCATTGCAACGAAATCGGGGACTTCCAAGAAATCGCTGCCCAGTTTTTTCTTGGGTTTTCAGATCAAACCATCTGTTAACTAAATATGCATATGGTGCGTAAAGACGCCTGCCGAAAATCGAAATCAAAATCAGAGCGTGAAATATAAACAATGAATTTTAAATTGAGCAGACGTACGAGTATGTACGCAGAAAAGCGGCCAAAAAACTAACGGAACACAAAATGTTCAGTTTTCCGTGTGGTTAACCAGAATATTTGTTTTGCTGGCTGAAAGAAAAAGGCACAAAAAAAGACGAACTAACAGAAAATCTTACAGAAAGCACAGATGAGACCCCAAAAATAAAATCGACAATGCATATGGCAGGTGTATGCGAGTGCATATACTACTTATACATACATATATGTATGTATGTACATACATATCTGTGTATGCATGTACATATTTATGTATGTATGTATGTCTGCTGCAGGCACCCCATTTCTGGAAATTGAAAGAATTTGTGCATTGGCGAAAAATTACACGAACATGACTGCATTCGTGGATATACATACATACATATACTTGTACATATGTAAGTACATGCTTAGCATTTTCAAATACGATATACATATGTACTATATATGTAGGTATGATACTAAAAACTGGAAGCCTAGAACATTTCCTAAGCACTTAGACAACATTTTGCCTCAGAAGTTGTGCAAATGAATAATCAAGAGTGATTCAGGCCTATGAATTATTATTTAAAATCTGAATCAAGATATGGTAGAATGCTTGGTCTGTCTGATCCATTAATTGGTTAAACAATATGAAACCCATTTTGTAGACTGAATACATACATATGTATGTATACTTACATATATATATGTACTTATATATTTCATATGCTTCCCACCAACTGGTCATTCAAAACCTTTCGGTGTCTTGCATTCCTTCAATTGAAAAACCATCACCCAAAACCGACCTTCGAGTTTCATTCAATCAATTGCAACACTCGAATATATTTTAATGCTATTGCTGTTCTTATTGTTGTTGTTGTTGTTGTTATTTTTCACACATTTCGCCGGCCCAGTAAACCAAATATGTTGCGCCAACACGTTGAAAAAGTGACAGCACTGCAATTTCCTTGAACTTGACACTTTGGGCAGCAGAACAAAAATGTATGTACAAGCTTATGTATGTATATGACTGCACATATTTATATACTTTTATACATATATACAAGTATATATGTGTGTGTGACATTTTGGATTCAATAAATGACACAGACGCTCAGAGAAGCATCGTTAGCTTTATGAATCCATGTGCACACACACACATCAACACTATTACGATTGCTATTTACATATGCATGTATATATGTTAAAAGAGCAGGTGTTGATGTAGAATCTAACTTGAAAAGAGTTTATTGTGTCTGTCTTTGTTGCATGTATTTCTACCGATAAACATATATATTTTTGTGGAAATATATTGTCCAAGTATTTATTAAAAACGTGGCTGTTTCAACTTGAAACTTGGTGAACTACGCAAATATGTGATTGCAGCTTGTTCTAATTCTGTCAATAACAACTTTGACAGTTTTCAACTACAATAATTCATTATTAAATTCTCATTTCATAGCCTTTTTAAACAAAATTGTCAAGTTTGGACGCAAACTGCAGCTTATGAGGTTTCTCTGTGGGTCTTCTTGTATCGGCTTTCTAAATACATATGTATTTAAGTAAAGTACATTAATTTGATTAATTTTGATTAATTTTATTTTCAAATTCAATCTGTTTCTATCAAATTTTGTACGACACGGTACAGTTTTCTTTTCCATTTTATTACTTAATTTCTTTTTTATTTCGATTACACCAAAATCAGCTGCAGAAAAATCTAATAAACGATTTAAATACTTTAAATTGTTCATGCCTTTAAAATAAACAAATATAAAATGAAAAGCACAATCGGTTGGTTAAATGCAAGTAAAAGCAATGAACGACAGCTTTCGTAAGCTATAAAATTTTAATTTAAAAATCCGTCACAGAATTAATTGAATTTGTTTCAGTAATTTCTTTGTTGGGCACATTCGCATCTAAGTATTACTAATCAAAATCAGTTGCTGGAATCGATCTAAAATTTATTTTAAAATCCTGCCCCTGACTCCATTTTATTTTCACAATCTGCGGCCCGTTGTGTTGGTAACATTGTAGGAGCAGCTGTGAACAGCTGTTCGGCAGAATGGAAACGAAGCTTAAGCAGCAATCAGGAATACCGTTAAATTTATATATAGTACATACAAGTATGCTGGCTTTCTTGTAATTGTATCTGAGACCGTAGTTGCATGATATTTAGTGTGTCAGTGGCGCACTTAAGCACATTTAACACATTTTGCATTGCCGCCGCACATGTTAATGTCAATTGTCGCACTGCCCCATATATTCGCTCTCTCTTTCGCTCCGATCGCCGCGGCGACTCAAAGCAATGCAACAGGTCGCCGCAATTCGCTTCGTTCCTACTATATGCTTTGTTTTTGCTTTTTGTTTTTCTGATTTTTTTCTTTTTCAATTCGCATGGATGGCATTTGGCGAGTAGTTTAAGGTCAAAGTAGTTTGTCCGATGTAAATAAATGCTCAACAAATTGGATAACAGAACTTTTACACACATGTGCATGGGCGTATCAAAGGGGTTGCCTTAGTTAATCCCTTCAATAAATACAAGTATTTAATGAAGCCATTTCAACAATTTCAACCAATAAGGACATTATTATATTAAACATACAGTTGTAGACTGTGAGCATCACAATAACCCTCAATCCCTCCTAAACAAGGTCCTGGCTACGGTTATGATATATATATGCATATAAATATAATATGTATATACATATATGTATGTATGTACATATGTACGTTTGTTCGTGCATATCCATGGCAGTTGAAAAACCGAGCAACACCCTCCCACACAGACAGATCAGATGTTCGATGACGATCTCACTTGCCTAGACAATAATTGTGGAGCTGTATGTGTTGGTGTGTGTGTG